TAAACATAACAGATGCCGGTTGGGGATTGATGCTCGAGGCCACACCCACATAAAGCAGACCTGTCTCTGTGGCGCAATCGGTTAGCGCGTTCGGCTGTTAACCGAAAGGTTGGTGGTTCAAGCCCACCCAGGGACGTTTTACACTTACATTAACAAGGATACATCATATAAATGAAAAACCTACTTTCTGTTGGGAGGGGGAAGTTTTCAAAAATCTAAGAGCAGAACTAAAGATGTGAAAGAATGAATAAAAAACATTATCACTGGTGATATACTCAACGCTACACACCCATAATTTTGACAAGTCTAAAGGAGAAGATTTCCAAAACTGAGTCTGAGGTCAAGATGGAAAAAAATTATGGTAAACATAACAGATGCCGGTTGGGGATTGATGCTCGAGGCCACACCCACATAAAGCAGACCTGTCTCTGTGGCACAATTGGTTAGCGCGTTCGGCTGTTAACCGAAAGGTTGGTGGTTCAAGCCCACCCAGGGACGTTTTACACTTACATTAACAAGGATACATCATCTAAATGGAAAACCTACTCTCTGTGGTGAGAGGGAAGGGTTAAAGAAACTAAGAGCAGAACTTAAGATGTGAAAGAATGAATAAAAAACATTATCACTGGTGATATACACAACGCTACACACCCACAATTTCAACAAGTACAAAAAATTATAGTAAACATAGCAGATGCCGATGGGTGGGGATTGATACTCGAGGCCACACGCCCATAAAGCAGATCTGTCTCTGTGGCGCAATCGGTTAGCGCGTTCGGCTGTTAACCGAAAGGTTGGTGGTTCAAGCCCACCCAGGGACGTTTTACAGTTTGATTAACAAGGATACATCATCTAAATATAAAACCTACTTTCTGTGTGAGAGGGAGTGGTTAAAGAAACTAAGAGCAAAACTATAGATTATCATAACTGACATATCCAACAGTACACACCCATTACTCCAACAAGTATAAATGAGACAGTCTCCATATCTTCCAAAACAGATAGATGAATGGATAAATTAGGAAGCAGTGTTCTAATACTCTAACAACGAGAGACACTTTTGGTTCTAAGATTAAATTAAAGGACGAGTAGAAACATTATCATTGATCAGCCTGAGGTCTACAAGGAAGAAATGATACTAGATATAATAAATGCAAGTGGATGGGGATTGATGGTCGAGGCCAAACCTACATAAATGAAGAGCCTACTTTCTGTGGTGTGAGGGAAGAGTTTAAGAAAACTAAAGGCAAAGATACGGATGTGAAAGAACATCGTGTTAAGTATGGCTTAATTGAGCTGTACTATATATACAGTATACTGGAGAAATAGCCGTTTAAAGGTCACCCAACCCAACTGCGGAGCATTTGTACTTTGCTGGGCAGGCATGAGGGAAATGATTAAGAGAGCAAGGGGAAAAGACAGGACAACCTGTGGACCAGGCGAGGAAGCAGGTATAGGTGAGGAGATGACCCATTTACAATGTTCAAACAGACATTTGTGAATCGATTTTCTATTCATGAAGCGAAAAAACATTTGTAGATTTAAATTTTACACTTGCGCGTATCGATGTTTGTCGCTTTATTCAAGATAATATGATAGAATTTGACCTGTGTGTACGCTTTACTTAATTTGTAGTAATATAACCACTCAGCTGTAACTACTCACACCTGGCTGACTGCAAAGCAAAAGATTTAATACTTTCAAATGGAACCTGAAGGTGTTTTATATTTACAGATCACACATTTACTCACTGATTGTCAATCAGTTCACACAAACAAGATAAATCTACCGCCATATGTTTTAGGCTAGAGAAAAAACGACAAGTACATATTTTTCCCAGGCGACATGAAGGCACCATAACAGCCCCTTTACTTTAGGAGTTTATTAAACCGAACGACAGACAGAAATTAAATCCCCATTAATGCGTTTCTCTTGTAGTAGTTTAATGCTGTTAATCATTTCATTTCTCAGTTTCCCGCCATCGTCGCTCTCTGTTCTCTGGCTCGTGCAGATGTTTGCTCTCTCTGCAGACGTGCACGAGGAGCATAAACATCTGCACGTGGGCAAATCTATGACGCAAGCACGCAGGGAACGTGCTGACGACCGGATGCTGTACGGCAAACTGACTGAGACAAAAGACATTTAAATATAAACAAAGGCAGAGGTTGTCTGTTTAAATGACAAAATCGCTACTGTACAAGACAAAACAACAAATGTGTTAATAAATAAATCTATCGATTAATATTAATTTATGTATAAATATCCACATTAAAATCTTAAGTAATTAATACAGTATTTTCAATGTAGACTGTTTGTTTTTAATGTTTTCATTTAATTTAATGGGTTTTTTTGTATGTTTTTAATTATACAATATTATTACAATATTTTTATTATCAAACCCAACCCAACTCTTTAACTTAAAAATAGTACAAGTATTTTAAGATTTTAGTGATATTTTATGGAGACGTAGCTACTTAGATTTGTTGTATACTGTAAATATGTTTATTATAGTAAATAGTAAATAGTAATTTGGATGGACCAACCTCTAAAAAAGAGAAAGCGAGTAGGGAATGACAAAAAAACCCCCAAAAAAACATGTAATGAGATAAAAGGATGGATATGCAAATGAGGCAGAAAATAGCAAACACTTTATTATTATGGATGAAGGAGTGTGTATGGGAGGACACTTATCTGCCAGCATCAGAGAGAATTAATAAACACAATGAGACGCGTAATAGCAAAATTAACATTATTACACTTGACATGTTGGATGTCAGCTAGAACCCTTCACTGAATCTGATGTTAAAATTATAGATTTTTTTCAAATAATTTAAACAAGTGAAACAGTATGAACAAGAACAAGGATGTTTTATTCTTATGTAGAGGTGAGGTTTAACATCAGCCCTCGATACGTTTCTTACCTCATCTGCACAAAAATCAGAATCAATAATAGCCCAAAAATGTAAAACCAAGGTTTGTGACCTCTGCTGATAGCTGGCTGATGTAAATATTGTGGTTATTAAATGCATTCATGATCTCAGATCACTGGGGAAAAGTGCATTCCAATTTTGGATCACAGGATATAAAAGAAAGGATATGAATTCCTGAAATAAAGAAGCAAAAAAATCAGAACACAAATGTGTTTCCTGCTTTTTGGATTGGGACCTGTGGTGGTAATTGTCATGAAAGCCTGTTGACAGGAGGTTTGGAAATGTTTTACACACAGTTCACCGGGTGAAGGTTGTGCATTATACACATCACTGTGTAGACACAATACATCAGCTGAAGAAACACAGGAAATCAAAATTCCCTTTGGACTTTCAGCATAAAAGCACACACATTCGAATTAATCATAGCCTTAGTAATTGTTCTGTGGAAACAAAGAAAAATAACAGCAGCACAATTTCAGAACTTATGTATCTATACAATATATTTTACATCTGTCATTTCAGTAACAATCTATGTGGGTTTGAGTCTCATTTCACAAAGGCTTGATACTTTACAGGTTTTCTCACCTGGTGAGTTTAACACACCTTTAGCCTCAAGGGCTTAAATTAGCAAATCACTTATATGATGATAAAAACCTACAAACTCCCACCTGGTTCAGTATCTCCCAAGATTCTTTAAACTTCTAAACAACTATTTTATTATTAAGTGTATAAGTGTTTTGACCACTAGATGGCAGCAGCAGTATTTGTCAAATTTCAAGTTTCGATTGATACTGTCATTGTGTTTTTGATACTAAATAAAACTAGAGGATTACTGCTTGCTGCCTCAAATTTGTATGAAGAAGCAGTTGAAGTGATAGTCACGAAGAGATGGAAACAAGGAGAAAGGGGTGAAGAATGCAAACTCTAGTGGAAGCAGTGAAAAAGAATTAGTTGAAGTACACAGAGAGAGAAACTGAGCTTCGTTGCCTATAGTGCATCATAAATTACACTGTAAATCCCAATTTGCTCACTCAATTTAAAAGTACATTGGAAAAGGCCTGCACACAAAACTTGTTTACATGTAGACCAACTATGGAGGCGGTGGACGTGAGGCAACGCCTGCTACGTGATCCTTCACAATAGAACCAACCACAACCCAGGCTAGATATGCAAAGGGCTGCACCTCTGCCCCGAACACCACCTATTTCTAGAACAGCAGATGATTCTACAGACAAAAAAAACATGGCAGTGATATGAGCTCACCAGTATCTCCCATTGTGGCAAACCTCTACATGGAAGAAGCAGACAGCAGGGCCCTGACCTCTCTCAGAGGAACAGTTGTGTTTTGTGAGTTGTTGTGATTCGCCGCTGTGTTTTGATTTGTCGGTATGATTTGCACTTCACGGCCTCCGTAGAAAACAGTGTAAACATTGTGAAGAACAAGCTCAAGCAAATGATAAATGATAAAACCATCCAGACAAATCAGTCCTGAAACTGCATCGGAAGAACCAGATTAGCTAGATGAAAATTCACAGGATTACTTTAGCCTGATAACTGCATGTTAGCCTGAGTTGGCTAATCCATGTTAGAACAGACCTCACATCCATCCTGTGAATTAAAGCTTCAATATTTACATATAAAAACTTTCAGGTTAATATTGAAACTTCATCGTTTTCAATCTTTCAAGACAATTTTATTAAACAAAGTTTCATCTGTAACCTTTAGAGGTGATAAGTAGCATTTCATTTGCTGAGGAATTAATTATCTTACTGACATGGGCTGTTATTTGATTTACATCTCTTCTAACTTGCATTTAACATATAATTTGTCATTTTACATTTCTACCTGGTTGTGCATCTTAATTTATATAAATATACACACACCGATTGCTGTTTATATAAACACATGTACATATCTGAATGTATATTTAAAGTGCTGAGAATTTGTATTTCTGCTGTTTCTTTGAGTTTATTTTTCTGTACTCAGATCTCACTGTGAATTAAAATAAATTATAAATAAAAAAAAAAAAAATAAAAAAAAAATTGAAAAACAAATCCCATTCACACATACTGGGTTTGTTCAACTAGAAGTTTATTGCCACACATGATTCAGTTCTTTTATAAGACAACAAGCACTTTCGGAGTGTTTAAGGCGTCACTCAGGTGCATTCACAGCTGCTCTGTTTGAGCTTTGTAGTCAGTAACAGGGCTCACAGATGTGATCATCCTACTTAAACAGGCACTAATGCTAAAGCTAATTTGAAATGTGAGTGTAAATGGTCCTTAGAAGAGACAAATATCTTCAGCATTTCGATCTTTATTTTGGTATGTAAACTTAAGGGAATGTGTGAGCGTGCCTCTCACACGCCACCCCTTTGCCTCTTCTTCCAAACAGACACATCGGAGGAGGAGCTCAGTGACTTTTGCTGGCCTTGTCAAAGAGAGCCTTCAGCTGCTCCTGGGAGGTGGCCTCCTTCTGCTGCATCAGGTCGGCGTGGCCTTTGGTGACGCCCCAGCCGTCAGGTGTGGCCATGGAGGGGCAGAAGGGACGGCCAGACGCAGGCTTCAGCTTCTCCCAGTAGTCACGACGAGCCCTACGGAGGGGGAACACGTTATAGTTTTAAACCAAACTGGCAATTTTGAGGGGAAAAAAAGAAAAGGGTGTGGAAAAGAAAAATATCCACCTTGCTCTAACCCAAGGCTTCGTGTGCATCTCCAGGCCACTACCCCAGATGCCGTGCTTCTCCGATCCAGCAGGTATGAAGCCCCTCTCGGCTGCCAGCTCCTCAGCCAGGGCACGGATGTGGTAAGGTTCAAATCCACAGCAACCTCCGATGTAACGAATGCCGGCGTTGTACGCTTCCCGGGCGTATTTCTGCATGTCCCATCTGGTCAGGATCCTCGGCTCCAGACCTGCGGGATGAAGTTATAGATTATGATCCAAACACTTTAGAAAACTAAAATGTCGAGACGCACCAGTTTTCAGAGCGTGTATACGTACTGAAAGGGAACTCTGGCAGATCAATGAAACCCTGCCGGTTGCAGTCAGGAGTGTGGTAGGCCAGCGGCTGGCTCATGTAGTGAGCCTTCAGTCCGGCCTTCTCCACGCCCTCCTTCATCATCTTCACAGTCTTCACACAGGTCTCCGGGTCAAAGTGGCAGTTAATGCCCACGATCTGAGCTCCTGCCAAGAGGAAACGATAAACATGATCATTTTCAACAATCCTGACATGTTTTTCCTGTTAAAATTAGACCGGTAGCAGGTAAAATGTCTGTCTGCTGTAGTGTAATTCTTCATACCACTAGATGGCACCAAAGGATTTACATGGGCGCTCCGCTGACATCACATCCTGCATTATAAACTCTGTGCATGTCCGAGTTTGAAATATGTATAAACCAGGCAGGGAAGGTTTAATGAAAAGTTGCATCATGGGAAATGTAGGATGCAGCATTTTTCATCCAGATAATAAAAGTCAGGATCTGGAGCTCCTCTAGACTGAGAGGTCGAACGATATTGAAACAGGGTCAGGAGATCATGAGGAGGCTGTTTAACTGTTTCCAAGGTTAAACTGCATCAGTCACTTCTGCCAATGACATGTCTCGCCTTTGTCTCCCCCCCCCCCCGGGATATACGCAGTACATTTTAGGTCCGTCATACCAGCTTTGACGAGTTTGACAGCACAGTCTCCAGGGCTGATGCCGTTCAGGTCTCCGTCAGGTCCAATGCACAGAGTTGCAGCCACTGGCTTGCCAGTGGTCTTCAGAACCTGGACTGCCCACTCGGCCTCTTCCACATGCTCGAAGTACTGCAAGCAGAAGAGGCCAGGTAAGCAATTATTTAAAAAGCTGAAATGTAGATTGTTGAATTCACCATTTGATGGTCAAAGATCAGATCATTCACACTGCAGCCCAACTTCCTGATACTCACATTTTAAAAACCCGTTTAAATATTTTCACTATAACAAAACACTACTCACTTTACAGCTTCTTACACTCATAGTTCAGGTTTTACAGACTCAAACTTTACTGTTTCGCTTCATCTCACTACTCAACAACAAAAAGAAGAAGCTACAGGTGCCGTCAGTCCACTGACGAGTTGGTTCAGACTCCATACAAACAAACAAGTATAGAAGAGAGGTACTAAGATGCCATGAGTGGAAACCTCCTGCTCCAACATGTTGTAAACTGGTTGCAGCAGTGAACCGATTCATTGAAAAAGATTAGCATCGTTTTATTTTGGCAGAATCAAACCCACGATGCATTTCTGACGTTCCAAACACTGGATGTTGCTTCCCGCAAAAAAAAAAAAATTAACATTTAAAAACACTCAAGTGTGTGTCGGTTTGAGCTAGCTGAAGTCTTTGCCTTGAGGCCTGATTTGGTTGCATTATGGGAACTGTAGGACCAGTGGTGTCTTGGTAGGTGTGGATACTGTGGCTTCAAATAGGAGTATTTTTATAAATCGCAGTACCGCCAAATATTTTCTCCATTGATTATATGATTGTGTGACCTGGTTGGGGGTTTTCAGGGACATTTGCTCCACGAGTTTACCCATAATTCAGCGCTTCTCCCCAGGCTTGGTTCAGCTTTAAAAAAAAAAAAATCGGGGTAATCGTGTTGCCCCTGGGGAGGAGGCTAAAGTCCAGGAGCAAAAGTCCCTGAACGCCACAGATTACAAGGACATCTGTAACATGACTGCCTGCAGCTTTACTCTGGAAGATGTGGACTTATATGCATCTACAGCTATTTTTAGGTGTGTATAAAGTGACGCCCCCGGGCCAGAGGCGGCGTATACGTACTACTACACCTTTGCTGAGGACTACAAGTCGGGGTATCTTCCATTTATTACAAACCTCTGCAATCAAGAAGTCCACGTTCTTCTGGACAAAGACATCAAGCTGTTTCTTGAAGATGGCCTTGACGTCATCCTCACTCTTGCAGCTGAGGTAAGAGGGGGTCTGAGACACTCCTCCGGCCACCAGAGCATCACCCTCATTGGCCACCTCCCGGGCCAGGTCACAAGCTGCTTCGTTTATCTGCTGGCCCTGCAGTTCAAGGAAGACAAAAGAAAAACAAAACAAAACAAAACACTATTGATGCAACTGACTTCACAAGGTGTCTGTTTCCATGCTAGAGGCAGTTGGCTTCATGCCGACTGTGCTGCTGCCAAGCTGCCATCCCCACCCCACGACTCAAGATGAGAGCTGGGAGCAGCTGCAGTCCCGCGGATTGAACTCACAGTGAAGCGCTGAGTGTGGCCTCTGTTCTCCAGTTTGTCGTCGCTTGCGTAGAAAGTGAACGTCTGCATGACATTGGAGCCCGCTCTCAGGAACTCCCTGTGCAGCTGCCGCACTGAAAACGACACGGTTCAGCTCATCACTCGCAAAACTGGATTTACAGGTTAGGAGATATGTTATGTTATAAATTGCATAATTACCCGCTTCAGGGTGCTCGGCGGCAGCTTCAGGTGTCCACGGCCCTGCCTTCACATAACCCCTCTTCTCCAGGGCGAAGACAAAGCCCCCGTCCCCGATAACCACCTCTCCTGCATCCAGACGCTCCAAAAGACCCTGCGCCAAGTGAAAGCGTGCAACAAGTAAGACACAACAACATGCACACAACTTTGTTAACAATACATTCTTACTAAGCCGTGGTAGTTGGCATTTCGCAAAACCCACTTCCTCCTGCAAAAAAAAAAAAAGTGCGCACACGCAGTCAAAAACTGAAGAGCTGCAGCTTCTAGACTGAAACCTCTTCTTACCTTCTTTGCTCCAGCTGGTGCCATGATTGTTGCAGCAGTGACCGGCCCACTCTTCTCAGCTACAGAGTCCTTCTGAAGTTGGAGAGGGACTTGAGCAGACATCCATGCTCAATTTATAATCCAGGAGGGTGCGGTGGTCCTGATGTCACACGGAAGAACCGCCTGCCTCCTACACAGCTACTTTTTTTTTTTGTTTTTTTTTTGTTACCCCTCCTTTTCTATCAAAGCAAGTTTGCACAAGGCAGCCTATTGTTCTGGATACAGCAGAAATGCAAGGCGCCTGCTCTAATGATAGTTTGGACATTGGGATATTTTGTTTGGTGTTTTTGTGGCTGGAATAAATCAACATGATGATTAAAAGTTTAAGTAGGTGAGAGCAGGATAATTATCAGTGGGAAAGTTCTGAGAATTTGACTCTTGCACAACACAGAAGTTGTAGAAAAGACGTTGTAGAGATGAAAACATTTTGATGTTTTACTGAAAAGGCTTTGCCAGTGACTGTGCAGGAAACTCAGAGAGAAGCAGCCATAATGTTGAAAACAGTGTTGTGATGAAGTTACTGCAGAATCTGGCTGGTTTGACATGATGTTTATCCACTAACATAAAGTCAAAAATGTTTCTTCACTGGGATGTTTGAGCTTCATTGTGCAGAGTTTGAGACTAAAAGGCTGTTTTCACATCCATCTGCTGAAGGAGGAAAGTTTCTCTCTGCTCCACCAGTTTAAAACTTGTACTTATGAGCATAATTAAGTGACTTCACAGCTAGTTTGGAAAACAGTCCTGGTCCAATATGCAAATTACACTAATGAGATGTCACAACCTGAAGCCTCAGTGCATATACACATAGAAAGGACTTTTAGGAACATTGAAACTTTTGAAATAAGCAACATTAACATACTCAGAGTGTGATTTTTCACTGATGGAGATAACGAGCTAATTGAACTTACTGAAATTATTTTGCAGGAAAAACAAACCCAATACAAATGATTGAAAGCAGAGTATTTTTTTTAAAATGTTTTTAAAACATGTCTGGAGCGGATCTTTACCCCAACATGTCCATTCTGACCTGCTGCACAAAAACTAATTAAAGCTTTTTGAAGAGAACACGAGTCCATGGAAACTTTAAAACTAGCACCAGGTAAAATTCTTTTCCCTCTGTCAACATTTTCTGCCATTTGTCATTTGAATAAAAGTGGATTCACAGTTGTGAATGAAGATGTTTTAAAATTAATTCTTTAGGGTTGCAACTAAAGATGATTTTATTTTCAGAAAAATCATCTGAAATCTGAAATCACGTCACAAAAATCACAAAGAAAAGCATCAAAGCCTGACGAGCGAGAGGCTGAATCTGGGTTTAGTTTGACTTGAACAATTAATCAAGTTATCAAAACAGTTGCCAACTAATTTTCTGTTGATAAATTAATTGATTAATCAGTGAATCATCTCAGCTTTAATAGTGCTAATTCATCATAAGTATCCCCTTCTGTCCAGAGGCCGAACAAGCTGCTGGAGAAGCTTTTTTAACTAGATTTGTTTATGTGTTCATGGAGCAAAAATACATGAGGAGGAGTGACGTCTGTCTGCACTCTGGTCTGTATCCCGCTCTTTATCCTAACCCTCTCAACCTCCGTCTGGCCTTTCCACACCTTGTCATTCCACGCCTGTCCACCGGTTGTCCTCGTAGAGTTTCCCTCCTTTGCCCCTCAGCCGAACCTGCTCCTCCCTGCACACCTGCCCCTCGTTGCCCCTCGTCAGCACAGTCCTACTTTTCCATGCACTTTTGGAGCTGCAGCCTGTTGTGGACTGGAGGTGTAACTCCACCGGTTGACTTAAGTAAAGTGAGTTAAACCTGAATTTGCTCCGACCTCAGTCTGCTTCTGGGTTCAGCTCCTGAGAGTTCAAAACCTGTCTCTTAACCCTAAGGGGCAACAGTTGGTTTGTCTTTATGACGGAGGGGGGGGGGGTCTGGAATAATCCAGTCAATTAAATACAAATGTTTGAAAGTCGATCTTGTTTAAACTTGTGTCAGATGTTGTGTTTTCCAGCAGAAGGAGCAGGAAATCATCAAAAAGTGGTTCATGATGTGCAACAGTGGTCAGAATTCAGCAAATAAAAACATTGATTCATTATTTAATTGTTTGTTTGAACAGCTAGTCTCACCTGAGTGTAAGTATGCAGTTAAAGCACGGACAGACAGAGCAGCCGTATAGATAAATAACATGATGCACATCCCCTCTGTAGTTTCATTATAAGATGCTCTATGAATCTCCAGAGGCCAAAACTACTCAGACAAGTTGAGAAACAAAGATGGATTACCATGGTGATGACACCCAGTGGTAATCCAGCCAAGATTAACACAACAGACCGAGTCCAGGCAACTGGTGGTATGTTAGACCGAGGGTTGGGGGGGGCAGAGATGGATGTCTTTAATGAACTGACGACAGCACTAATTGTAACACACATTTATTTAATGTTGATGGTGAGTCGTAAAGATTTATCTGTGTTTTTAGATTTCTCTCCAGGAGGTTTAATCAAAACGATGTCGTCGATTACAAATGAAAAAGCAAAACACGCACCGTAATATATGTCTTGGATCTTTTCTAAACTCTAGGGAGAGGGCCATGGTTCACATATAACGTGATACTCTGTGACAGGACATATTGTATAAATGCCACATTTGTTGAGGGTTCAAATGTGCCTTAACTAACTCAGACTAAAACATGTTGAGATCAGGAAAATATTTGTTTTGATTCCCGTTCAGCTCATTTGTACGGTGGCCCTGAAATCACAACACACTGCTCATGAAGACAATGCACAAACAAACAGATGAAAACACGAGCAAATGAAGAAAACATCTGTATCAACTTTAAAACACATGCAAAAAAAAAAAATCAGAATAAAAAAGAGAAAACACAACTAAATAAAGGATTGGGTTGCAGGTTTGATCTTGAGGACTTGTTCCAGATAAATATTTTCAAACGGAAGAGCTGAAAAATCCAAGCTTGTGTCATCAAAAGCAAAAGTAAGATAACTCAGTCATGTGCAAAGAACACGACCCAGATCTGTGAGTAATTCTCTGTAATTTAACAGTTATGTCACTTTAAACATCGGACTCGAATGTGACTGAGAAACAGTTCGTACCATCCCTTATGTTCACTTAACCACCGCAGGGGGTTTTCCCTTTTAATTAATGTTGTAATAAATTTTTTATCAAGCTGGGAAGAAGCTCTGCCAGGAGGAATTAAACCTCATTTCTTGTGGGCTGAACAAACCTCCACACAGCGGAGGAGAGAACACAGTCCAGGCCGTAAAAAAATGCATGTAACGACATAAAACCTTTGACCTTTGGCTCTAAAGTCTTTGCTGAAGCCATCCGATGTAGTTTCCCATTGTCACAGCACATACCCTCACTATCGTGCACAACACTGATTAGCATTGACATATGCAACATTTGAGGGTCTGTCTACACGTCAAAACAACAGAAAATGAACACAGAGATGCAAAACGACCACAAAGGGTTCATAAAACAACCACGAAGAGACGCAAAAGCCTTAAACATTTACGGTTTAAAACAATATGACATGAACATAGCATTAAAACTAAATGCAAAATACAGCTGAGGATGATGGGAATGTGGTTATTTTGACCTGATGATGGTGCTGCAAGAAGGTTAAAAGTTAGTACAATCCATCCTCTGGAGAACATGAGTGTTTGTACAAGATTTCATGACAAAACATTCAGCAGTTGCTGTGATATTTCAATAAAAAACAAAAATATTAACCTTATGGTGGCGCCAGAGGAAGAGTCAAGAGATAACATAAGTTAGAAGGGTTTATCCACTGGGGAACATGAGTGTTTGTACAAAAATTCATGACAAAACATCCAGTAATTGTCATGACAGTTCAATAAAAATCAAAAATATGAACTCTACCGTGCTGCTAATGGGAAGAATTAGCGATAAACTAAGTCAGTGGGGTTCATCCTCTGGAGAACGTGAATGTCTGCACAAAGTTTCATGACAAAACATCCAACAGTTGTTGAGATATCTCAGTCTACACTCCTCATGTTATTGTGTAACTTTAGTGCACCCATGTTTGCTGACAGTGTTCTTAACCTATGAACTCTTAACCTAAATTTGATATAAATAAGATATTTTTAAGACACACTTTATTATATCCTAATTATTATGTGATAAAATTACTTTATTTTTCTGTTGAATTTTGCAGATCAAATGTAAAACATCTGGTTTCAGTTCCAATCAGTGAATCATTAGATTAATCAATAGCAAAGGTGATGATTTTGTATGCATGTGGAAGTTAATCATCTAATGCACAACGTGGATCTGTTTCCCTGCGTTTCAGTGTTTATATAAACCAGCTACCAGGATAAACGTCCAGTTCAAGCCTGTTGCAGCTGTTCCAGGTGGGTTAGAGTCTGTGTTGCAATAAAAAGGCTCAAGGACCAATCAGAGATAAATGTTTCTGTATGGATCGGTGAGATTTCCAGGTCAATTCTCTTGGCAGAAAACACAGACTCACACTTATCAAAAATACTGCACTAAAATACAAGTTATGTGTATTTTGGCTGCTATTTATTTTTAGCCATGCGAGTGGTCGGTCCATCACTCTGGTCAAGGCTGAAACGTTTCATCAAACATCAAACATTACCATTATTTTGCTTTGTAAATAAAAACCTGAACAACTAAACCGCTATGCGTTGCACACTAAATTAAATTAATGCAACTTAACGCAAAGCAGAAAGCAACATTATAAACATTATATCTATTAGCAGTGTTAGCGTTAGCATTTAGCTCAAAGTAATAAGTCTCTTGTTCATGAGGATTTTTGTCCTTTTCTTCTTAGCTGATCAGTGATCTGTGCAGCACTAACCTGTATGAAAAAGTGTTATACAAATAAAGTTTGATTGATTGATTGATTGATTTTTGATATAACTCATATTAACTAAAATAAAAAATGACTGGAGCCATTCACAAACGTTTTTTCTTGGGGTTATTTAACCTACATTTGAAAGCACACGAACACTCAGAATAAATATTTCTCCCAATAGAAAAATGAATGAAACATTCCCACTTGTTGCTGAGGGGCTGTGTGACCTACATTTGGAGTCTGTGGCAC